TTTGACAAAGTTATTGATGTTTGAAAAACTTTATCCTCAGACTGAATCTGAATGTTTATTTGTAAAAAAAAACTATGTCCATTTATCAGTAAAATACGGAGAAATAGAAATAAATATTTTCAAAATTTTGCTCTGGATATTGTATTTTGGTCATAAACAAGCTTCTGTCCAAATTTCCTAAAATTCCATGAAGGTTTGACAAAGTTATTAATTTCTAAAAAAAACTTTAACCACAGACTGAACCTAAATGTTGACGCCGCCGACGCCGACGACGGAATCTAGGATCGCTATGTCTCGCTTTGCGATATAAATGTCGCAGGCTCGACAAAAATGCATACAGACGCTATATGCAATAGAAATTATTAACATTTTTTTAACAGTCTGAGTCCAATAGGACTCTTGTATTGAACTTTTTTTGCCAACAGTATAGTCTGATGCAAAGTTTTTTTCACATTTCAGTGGAAAAGTTGCATGCTATTTTAGTCTAGACAGGCATACATGTATATTTGAACAATTTACTATGCTACAGAAGAAAAGAAAGGTGTTATATGAAAAGACACAGATACAAAAATCATTGTAAAGTGCTTTTATACAGATTTAGTAACCTCTTTATGATGAATTTCAACTTTTATGTACATAGCTCCTTAGATTTCACTTCCTTTAAACAGGCAATTAGACCAAGACCATTAATACAACACAGTTTGCACATTTTTTCTGTAATAAACTTCTTTTGTCTAGATTCAAACTTTTTAAATTAAGCCTAAAAACAGAAATATCAAAACCTGTCAGATAGAAAGTCAGCATGTCCCTTAGGTATAAAATAGGTAACGGCTTGAAAATGCTTATTTTAGCCATATAATGCCAAAATGGGACATTTTTACAAAATTTATATCAAATAAAGATAGAAATCCTTTACTTTCATTCAATTTGACAAGTTGATACCATCAAACCATTCAGGGAAGTTGCCATAATACAGAATCTACTTTTACTGAATTCATCTCTTAGACCCAATAACAGTTCTTTCGTAGTGCATTTTTTTTTCAAACAAAAAACACAAATTTAAATAGTCGCACTACTCTATCCAAAAATGATTTTGACAGTGTAGTGTACTACTTTTGGGACTTTTATCCCACGTTTTTGTGTGGTTTGTGTTGCTCAGTCATATTATATGTATTATTTTGTGGACTTATTTGTTTTTTCGTCCTTTTTCGTTGTCAGTTTCTCTTCTATTTATGAGGGTTTTTTTTTATGTCAAACATCATTAAAGTGGAATATAGGAATTTATGTTCGTTATTATCTGTCAGATTAATTGGTCCAGTTTCGTTAAAATAAGCTAATACATCGCTGATATATTATTGGCTTGCAAGTCAATAATTCAAGCCAATCAGAATCCATATTCATGCACCTTTAATTTGAACATAAGTGGAGACGGGTTGCGCATATGGTCAACGTGTTAATTCATTAAAAGAAACGAATGTCAACCTTGAATAGTGAAACATGGGAGTCACCAGGAATAACCATTTTGTTGACTGATCCGGTCCACAAATAGTCATTTTTATACAGGTAAAACGATGGTTTACAAAAAGTTTTAATCTTGAACCTGAAATCAAACAGACCTAGATAAATCGTTACTATACATTTGTAACATGAATGGTAATTTTTCCTTTGAAGTTCGAGTGAGTTAACTTCGGTTATTTTTAGAGGAGTGTGTTAACTGAATGATTTTTTAGTTATTGCACTCTCCAGTCCCGCCGTGTGTCGCTTGTCATAAGAAAAGCAAAGAATGGGAGGAGCTTAGACCAGTGCTCTAACTTCCATCTCAAAAGTTGTTATTTGACTGTCTAGCTCCGCCTCCTTGGCCTAGTAAACTATGAAATCAATGACCATAAAATATCCTAATAAATGTAAACAAAATGCATAGACAACAATATATCAAAAACAAATCGAGAAAAAAAAGGGGGGGGAGGGGGGGGGGGGGGGGGTTGAGGGGGCTTACCCTAACACTAGTAAAACTTGTTAACCTAACCCTGAATTAATCAAAGTACTGAACATCGGATGACCACATCTTATGGATTGTCAAAAGCACTTGTCACAGAAAAAAATCACATCTCTATACCTGAAACTGAGGTTAATGTACAGAGATATATTTTTCTGAGACAAGTTCGTGCGTGGATGATGAATAAATGACAGGAAATTCAACCTCACCGTAATAACTATTATATTGTAGTGATACAAATCAGTATACACTGGTTTGTTGTTATATATATATTATATTAATATAACAGTTACATGTATATATAATTTTCATCCATTTGTATTCTATTCTACTATTCTAATAAGAGTGCAGTGCAAGTGCATGGTGGACACTCTTCTGTAAAAAATCGATTTTTCTAAAAGATTGGATATGAGTAGGCATTCATGTTTTCCCGCAAAAACAATCTTCCATGCAGAGTTACCGGTCCTTGCCGGGATTGTTGCAAAATGTTCTTGAGATATTCTTCCGCATGCTTTACCATATCAATGATTTTTTACTTATATATATATAGCTAACGACAAAACATTTTCATATTATTAATTTATGTTCTAAACAAAAATATTGTTATCAGTATTCATTGAAGAGATGTATTTATAACAAACGATAAGGAATGTTATTTTGCACTCGTTAATATCCGCGTATTTATCATGTTTATAGATCGGTTACAAACCCAAAACGAAAGTTACGTAATGGAAATCTAGGTGATAGCAATACATCGGAATGCACTCACGGTCATCGCGATGTAAAAATGGTTCCCTATACATTGCACTTGAAACAAATGAATTTTCGAAGAGAGCTACAAAAAAGATAACGTGGTCTATAAACGAAGAGGCGATATTGATAAATTGGTGGATACTTGATTTTATCGTGACAATATAAATATTCCAAAAAAAATGTGTCACTGGAATTTTAGTCGTTTAATTTCCTCCACTTAATGAAAGAATAAAACAAAATGTAATAGAAATGACTATGAATTTTACTACTGTTATTTTGGTTGGATACCTGTTTTTATCGTGTCGAAATTAATAATATTCTAAAAGCTATATGTCACTGGATGGGCCTATCTCCGTGAATTGATCATGCTTCAAATATTTGTCCCTGGATCTTACACGCATTCTACATGCAACCATTGCAATCTATAACCGATCTTTTTCCAGTCCTTGGAATGGAAGAATAGTATTTAAAATTACCTTCATAATTGGTATTAAAAAATGTTTCCTCCTTATCACAACGATAAAACTCCTTTGAAACTACACGCCATTTTCGAGTAGGAGGGCAGATCGTATAAAATTTTGCATCCCCCCTCTTTTTGAAGAGTTTTTTTGGGGAAAAATATTCATTAACACGTAAATGGCTATCGAGCCTGAATCCCATGGCAACAATTCGTTTTAATGTACCTGTATCTGACATACAAATTCAACTGACATCTGCTGCATGTGTTAATTTTCTGAAAATCAAATATAGTATCACGCCACTATTTGATTGGCATATTGAAAAGTAAAAGTAAAGTTTTATTGGTCAGCATTTAACCTTTGACATATTATAAGCATTTCGTGAATTAAATACGTAAATTCGTAAAAGGCGTGCTATATATATAATTTGTACGATTGCACGTGCTTGTCTGTCTATTTATATTTATATTGGGTTATATTGTTAAATGACCATCTATCTAAAAGGCAGTCGTCGGAAGTTTACTTGCTGGATAATGAGCTGGCATTTAGTTTAAAATACGCACATAATGCTTATAACGAGTCCATACATTGTTTTTTTGTTGTTTTTTTTTGTTTACTTAATGTTATTTGGATATACGTTTTAGTAACTATGATATATACACACAATAAGAGTTTGGGTCAAATCGGTAAACACGAATGTGAAAGTTGGTGGCCTTTTAAATTATCACATAGATATAAGGAAAGCAACGCATAGAATTGTAATATAAATGAGGGAGCAAATATCTTCCTATGAAGTTCCTTAGTGTAGAAAAGTCAAATGTTTTAATACTATTGCAAGATGAGAGAGTCTTAGATTGTATGTACTCTAAAAGATCTTTGGAATTTTTAAGTATCCACATCTGATTCACGCCACCTCTAGAATAGGCAGTTTCACAATAACTTTGGAGCCCGGCTTTGATTGCTGATAAAATAGATGTTAATAATTTAGAAAGAGGTTTCGTGGAGCACTTGGAAGACCCAGCAATATACCGTTGTTTGTAAAGAGTAGGTACTGTGACGCTTAATCTTGAGCCTTTTTAGTCCCATAGAATTGGCACAAAATAAAATAGCTATCTTTCAAATGACGCCATTACATGTAGTAATAACCTATCCGACACCATTTCATTTGGATGTCTATCAATGTAAAGCGATCGGAGATATAAGCTACGTAGCTATCTTTTAAATGACGTCATTAGTGATAACCTTCCCAACGCCATTTCATTTAGAATTCTCTAGATGGCATGATGTTTTTTTGACTGCCTAGATCTCTTTGGCGGCTATACGTTCATCCTGTTTTAATACTGAAATTTGCATGAATTATTTGCCACTGGATGTTCATTAAACAACACCAACATCAAATCAATCAATATAATTTTTTAGAGTGTGACTATCATATTGAATTTGTTTTTCTCATTTCGTTTATGTATTAACTTTTAATTATTGAACAATGAAAATGCTATATAAGAAAATTAAGTGAATCATTCAAATGTTTGTCTTTAAAAAAAAGGGAAAATTTAACAAATGAAACGTTCAGCACAGGTTATTCAAAGGCCTTCTAGAAATTAATTTCCAGTATAAAGCTCGACTTACATCCTTTGCTGAAACGAAAAGTATATTAAATTAATACATAGAGTCGGAACGAAATTCTATGACTAATTTATTTTTTGGTCATTCGGGAGTTTTTCAAACGGCGCTTTAGAAATTCGATGCAATTTACAGCAGATAAAAAGATACATTGTGTAAGTGTTTTATATCATCGGCACTTAAAGTTAACCAGCGAGAGACGTTAACCACCGAGGGTCGGTTTTTAGACACGCCCAGTGCAACTATGCACGCCTACTTTTGGAGCTCTTTAGTATGAAGATAAGAAAAGTATACAGAATTGAGGGACTGTCGACATTGTTTTATATTGTTCTTGGTTTACAGACGTTACCCGTAAATAAACTGGACCCCTGTTGTGTTTATTTATCGCTGCACTGAGCCTCCTGCACTACGATGGAATGGCGGACCAGTCTAAACATGGTAAACAGCTAAACAGCTGATTAAAGTAACCTGTAAGAAGAAATGAGTTAACTATTGTTTATATTAGAGACGAGAATGTCTCGTGTTTTGTTCTGCTCAGAAAAGCAGGAACCTTGGAGTTTATAGTTAGATTGTAATTCTTTCTTGAATCAAAACTGGGTAAATTTGATATAGGTAACAAACACTCCCCCTTTTTAAAAAATAACTCGAGAACCACACATCGGCAATCGCGCTCGCTGCACAAAGTAACAATAGTCAATAAGAAATAATTATTGTTACTTTCAAGAATCATTAATTGTCAAAACGTACCCCCCCCCCCCCCCCCCCCCCCCCCCGGACATCAAAGGAAGTTAAATGTATTGTTATCCCAAATTAGTTCAAATTATTATCATAATGACGTCTTGAAACCCTATTTTATGTGTTTTTTTTTGGCTTTGAAGTATTCTTACTGCAGAAAAAAACCATAACATAACCTTTTAAGAAGTCATAATTATTTGAACTACCCCTGAATATATTGCAGACAGGCTCTGATCTAAAAAATGTTTTAAGAGCAATCTTTGAAATGATTTTTTAGGTAATTTAATTATTATGTAATTAATATTAACATAGTTATAAACTTTCAAATTTATTGACCAATATGACCAACTCCTATGCTCTTTCCCATAAATGTCACAATATCATTATATTACAGTAAAATCCGATAGTTTGATGACATTCGTCATTGTTTATGCCTATTGACCTCAGCTCAGCCTAAACTGTAATTTATTAATTAATAAAAACCTAAGACATTAACCACCTGCAATGTGATTGCATCAAAATGACACCTAAGGCATATCATACTAATTGTGCAGGATGTGCCACCAAAATAAATACTGTCTTGTAAAATTAGATGATGATAGTTATAGCTACATGTAGTAATTATAATAACTGATGATAGATTTAAATCTGAGTAAAAGGTTGATTTATATGTGCTCATTCATGTTTTAATTAAAATATAAATTGAATCTTTTCTTTTATAATATTAAGATATTAAAATCACAATTATTTATTTGTTAACTAAAAATATTTTTTGTCCTTTTAAGAACATGACTGTACACAAATATTATACACTTGTAAATAATTTTAATAATTCTGTCATGTTTTTTTTTATGTAGCCCCAGAATGGTCAGAACAGTGGCAAAAGACTAATCCAGATTACCAAAAAATAGAAATTGTTCAGCTACCATTCATGCCATAAGCATGATAAGAAAAATTTTGCAGTTTCCAGAATTTGAGGTAGAGTATAGTCAGGAATAGTTTAAATATGCAGATGTTTAGTTTGCAATACACAATCATGTCCTTGATAGAAAAGTAGAGGAAACAAAAGAGTATGAAAATAGTTGAAAAAAGTAATCAATATTACCTAGTCATAAATAATGTAAATAGAAAAGAGAAAGGCAATGGTTACGACTTGGTTTTATTAATAGCTTTATCATTTGTCCATAATTTGGAATGAATCTTGACATTTTCATGTCACAATTTGATCTGAATGCATCCTCCTTTATAAAATAATATTATTTTCAGTCTACTGAAACAGGTATTTTTTTTGTTATAAAAAAGAACAATGAAACAATCGTTGAACAATTTTACCTAGCCTGTAAAGCTGATAGCTTGTTGATTTATAAAATTGATTAACTCATGGGTTAACAGGTAGTAAAATTTTATACTACAATCCTGGTACCTGATACAGCCTTCAAAATCTGAAGGTTAGTTTCAACCCAGTCCTGATAAATTTATCAATGAAAACTAATCAACAAACCAAATAAAAATTCACTGGGTAAAATGATAATATTTTAAGTAATAATACAATATTCATTCATACCATTTGTTGCATAAAATAGTTTTGTTACTTATCATATATACATATATGATTTACTCCTAATACTCTAACAGTATTGTATGGTAACCACTGACGGTAAGTATGGACAAATACTGTATATAGAGTGTGTATAGGAGTACTGTATTGTATGGTAACCACCGACGGTAGGTATGGACAAATACTGTATAAAGACTGTGTATAGGAGTACTGTATTGTATGGTAACCACCGACGGTAGGTATAGACAAATACTGTTGATATACGGTATATAGGAGTACTATATTGTATGTTAACCACCGACGGTAGGTATAGAAAAATACTGTTGATAGATAGTGCAAATGAGTACTATATTATATGTTAACCACCGACGGTAGGTAAAGACATATACTGCTGATAGACTGTGTAATGGAGCACTGTATTGTATGGTAACTACCAACGGTAGGTATGGACAAATACTGTATATATAGACTATGTATAGGAGTACTGTATTGTATGGTAACCACCGACGGTAGGTATGGACAAATACTGTATATAGACTGTGTGTAAGAGTACTGTATTGTATGGTAACCATCAACGGTAGGTATGGACAAATACTGTATATAGACTGTGTGTAGGAGTAATGTATTGTATGGTAACCACCGACTGTAGGTATGGACAAATACTGTATAAAGACTGTGTGTAGGAGTACTGTATTGTATGGTAACCACCGACTGTAGGTATGGACAAATACTGTATATAGACTGTGTATAGGAGTACTGTATTGTATGTTAACCACCGACGGTAGGTATGGACAAATACTGTATATAGACTGTATAGGAGTCTTGAATTTTATGTTAACCACTGACGGTAGGTATGGACAAATACTTATATAGACTGTGTATAGGAGTACTGTATTGTATGGTAACCACCGACAGTAAGTATGGACAAATACTGTATATAGACTGTGTAAAGGAGTACTGTATTGTATGGTAACCACCGACGGTAGGTATGGACAAATACTGTATATAGACTGTGTAAAGGAGTACTGTATTGTATGGTAACCACCGAAGGTAGGTATGGACAAATACTGTATATAGACTGTGTAAAGGAGTACTGTATTGTATGGTAACCACCGACGGTAGGTATGGACAAATACTGTATATAGACTGTGTAAAGGAGTACTGTATTGTATGGTAACCACCGACAGTAAGTATGGACAAATACTGTATATAGACTGTGTAAAGGAGTACTGTATTGTATGGTAACCACCGACGGTAGGTATAGACAATTACTGTTGATATACGGTATATAGGAGTACTATATTGTATGTAAACCACCGACGGTAGGTATAGACATATACTGTTGATAGACGGTATATAAGAGTACTATATGGTATGTAAACCACCGACAGTTAGTATGGACAAATACTGAATATAGACTGTGTAAAGTAGTACTGTATTGTATGGTAACCATCGACGGTAAGTATGGACAAATACTGTATATAGACTGTGGAAAGGAGTACTGTATTGTATGGTAACCACCGACGGTAGGTATGGACAAATACTGTATATAGACTGTGTAAAGGAGTACTGTATTGTATGGTAACCACCGACGGTAAGTATGGACAAATACTGTATATAGACTGTGTAAAGGAGTACTGTATTGTATGGTAACCACCGACGGTAGGTATAGACAAATACTGTATATAGACCGTGCATAGGAGTACTGTATTGTATGGTAACCACCGAAGGTAGGTATAGACAAATACTGTTGATATACGGTATATAGGAGTACTGTATTGTATGTTAACCATTGACGATAGGTATAGACATATACTGTTGATAGACGGTATATAAGAGTACTATATGGTATGTTAATCACCGATGGTAGGTATAGAAAAATACTTATATAGACTGTGTATAGGAGTACTGTATTGTATGGTAACCACCGAAAGTAAGTATGGACAAATGCTGTATATAGACTCTGTAAAGGAGTACTGTATTGTATGGTAACCACCGACGGTAGGAATGGACAAATACTGTGTAAAGGAGTACTGTATTGTATGGTAACCACCGACGGTAAGTATGGACAAATACTGTATATAGACTGTGTAAAGGAGTACTGTATTGTATGGTAACCACCGACGGTAGGTATAGACAAATACTGTATATAGACTGTGTATAGTACTATATTGTACGGTATCCAACGACGGTAGGTATGGACAAATACTGTATATCTAGACTGTGTATAGGAGTACTGTATTGTATGGTAACCACTGACGGTAAGTATGGACAAATACTGTAAATAAATTGTGTATAGGAGTACTGTATTGTATGGTAACCACCGACTGTAGGTATGGACAAATACTGTATATAGACTGTGTATAGGAGTACTGTATTGTATGGTAACCGCCGACGGTAGGTATAGACAAATACTGTTGATATACGGTATATAGGAGTTCTATATTGTATGTTAACTACCGACGGTAGGTATAGACATATACTGTTGATAGACGGTATATAAGAGTACTATATTGTATGTTAACTACCGATGGTAGGTATAGACATATACTGTTGATAGACGGTATTTAGGAGTACTGTATTGTATGTTAATCACCGACGGTAGGTATAGACATATACTGTTGATAGACCGTATATAAGAGTACTATATTGTATGTTAACCACCGACGGTAGGTATAGACATATATTGTTGATAGACGGTATATTAGAGTACTATATGGTATGTTAACCACCGACGGTAGATATAGAAAATTACTGTTGATAGACTGTGTAATGGAGCACTGTATGGTATGTTAACCACCGACGGTAGGTATAGACAAATACTGTTGATATACGGTACATAGGAGTACTATATTGTATGTTAACCACCGACGGTAGGTATAGACATATACTGTTGATAGATAGTGCATATGAGTACTATATTGTATGTTAACCACCGACGGTAGGTATAGACATATATTGTTGATAGACTGTGTAATGGAGCACTGTATTGTATATTAACCACCGACGGTAGGTATAGAAAAATACAATTTATATACGGTATATAGGAGTACTATATTGTATGTTAACCACCGACGGTAGGTATAGACATATACTGTTGATAGACGGTATATAAGAGTACTATATGGTATGTTAACCACCGACGGTAAGTATGGACAAATACTGTATATAGACTGTGTAAAGGAGTACTGTATTGTATGGTAACCACCGACGGTAGGTATAGACAAATACTGTATATAGACTGTGCAAAGGAGTACTGTATTGTATGGTAACCACCGAAGGTAGGTATAGACAAATACTGTTGATATACGGTATATAGGAGTACTGTATTGTATGTTAACCATTGACGATAGGTATAGACATATACTGTTGATAGACGGTATATAAGAGAACTATATGGTATGTTAATCACCGACGGTAGGTATAGAAAAATACTTATATAGACTGTGTATAGGAGTACTGTATTGTATGGTAACCACCGAAAGTAAGTATGGACAAATACTGTATATAGACTGTGTAAAGGAGTACTGTATTGTATGGTAACCACCGACGGTAAGTATGGACAAATACTGTATATAGACTCTGTAAAGGAGTACTGTATTGTATGGTAACCACCGACTGTAGGTATGGACAAATACTGTGTAAAGGAGTACTGTATTGTATGGTAACCACCGACGGTAAGTATGGACAAATACTGTATATCTAGACTGTGTATAGGAGTACTGTATTGTATGGTAACCACTGATGGTAAGTATGGACAAATACTGTAAATAGATTGTGTATAGGAGTACTGAATTGTATGGTAACCACCGACTGTAGGTATGGACAAATACTGTATATAGACTGTGTATAGGAGTACTGTATTGTATGGTAACCACCGACTGTAGGTATGGACAAATACTGTGTAAAGGAGTACTGTATTGTATGGTAACCACCGACGGTAAGTATGGACAAATACTGTATATCTAGACTGTGTATAGGAGTACTGTATTGTATGGTAACCACCGACGGTAAGTATGGACAAATACTGTATATCTAGACTGTGTATAGGAGTACTGTATTGTATGGTAACCACTGATGGTAAGTATGGACAAATACTGTAAATAGATTGTGTATAGGAGTACTGAATTGTATGGTAACCACCGACTGTAGGTATGGACAAATACTGTATATAGACTGTGTATAGGAGTACTGTATTGTATGGTAACCGCCGACGGTAGGTATAGACAAATACTGTTGATATACGGTATATAGGAGTTCTATATTGTATGTTAACTACCGACGGTAGGTATAGACATATACTGTTGATAGACGGTATATAAGAGTACTATATGGTATGTTAACGACCGACGGTAGGTATAGACATATACTGTTGATAGAGGGTATATAAGAGTACTATATGGTATGTTAACCACCGACGGTAAGTATGGACAAATACTGTATATAGACTGTGTGAAGGAGTACTGTATTGTATGTTAACCACCGACGGTAGGTATAGACAAATACTGTTGATATACGGTATATAGGAGTACTATATTGTATGTTAACTACCGATGGTAGGTATAGACATATACTGTTGATAGACGGTATTTAGGAGTACTGTATTGTATGTTAATCACCGACGGTAGGTATAGACATATACTGTTGATAGACGGTATATAAGAGTACTATATGGTATGTTAACCACCGACGGTAGGTATAGACATATATTGTTGATAGACGGTATATTAGAGTACTATATGGTATGTTATACACCGACGGTAGATATAGAAAAATACTGTTGATAGACTGTGTAATGGAGCACTGTATTGTATATTAACCACCGACGGTAGGTATAGACAAAATACTGTTGATATACGGTACATAGGAGTACTATATTGTATGTTAACCACCGACGGTAGGTATAAACATATACTGTTGATAGAGGGTATAGAAGAGTACTATATGGTATGTTAACCACCGACGGTAAGTATGGACAAATACTGTATATAGACTGTGTAAAGGAGTACTGTATTGTATGGTAACAACCGACTGTAGGTATGGACAAATACTGTATAAAGACTGTGTGTAGGAGTACTGTATTGTATGGTAACCACCGACTGTAGGTATGGACAAATACTGTATATAGACTGTGTATAGGAGTACTGTATTGTATGTTAACCACCGACGGTAGGTATGGACAAATACTGTATATAGACCTGTATAGGAGTCTTGAATTTTATGTTAACCACTGACGGTAGGTATGGACAAATACTTATATAGACTGTGTATAGGAGTGCTGTATTGTATGGTAACCACCGACAGTAAGTATGGACAAATACTGTATATAGACTGTGTAAAGGAGTACTGTATTGTATGGTAACCACCGACGGTAGGTATGGACAAATACTGAATATAGACTGTGTAAAGGAGTACTGTATTGTATGGTAACCACCGAAGGTAGGTATGGACAAATACTGTATATAGACTGTGTAAAGGAGTACTGTATTGTATAGTAACCACCGACGGTAGGTATGGACAAATACTGTATATAGACTGTGTAAAGGAGTACTGTATTGTATGGTAACCACCGACAGTAAGTATGGACAAATACTGTATATAAACTGTGTAAAGGAGTACTGTATTGTATGGTAACCACTGACGGTAGGTATAGACAATTACTGTTGATATACGGTATATAGGAGTACTATATTGTATGTTAACCACCGACGGTAGGTATAGACATATACTGTTGATAGACGGTATATAAGAGTACTATATGGTATGTAAACCACCGACAGTAAGTATGGACAAATACTGAATATAGACTGTGTAAAGTAGTACTGTATTGTATGGTAACCATCGACGGTAAGTATGGACAAATACTGTATAAAGACTGTGTAAAGGAGTACTGTATTGTATGGTAACCACCGACGGTAAGTATGGACAAATACTGTATATAGACTGTGTAAAGGAGTACTGTATTGTATCGTAACCACCGACGGTAGGTATAGACAAATACTGTATATAGACTGTGCATAGGAATACTGTATTGTATGGTAACCACCGAAGGTAGGTATGGACAAATACTGTTGATATACGGTATATAGGAGTACTGTATTGTATGTTAACCATTGACGATAGGTATAGACATATACTGTTGATAGACGGTATATAAGAGTACTATATGGTATGTTAATCACCGACGGTAGGTATAGAAAAATACTTATATAGACTGTGTATAGGAGTACTGTATTGTATGGTAACCACCGAAAGTAAGTATGGACAAATACTGTATATAGACTGTGTAAAGGAGTACTGTATTGTATGATAACCACCGACGGTAAGTATGGACAAATACTGTATATAGACTCTGTAAAGGAGTACTGTATTGTATGGTAACCACCGACGGTAGGTATGGACAAATACTGTGTAAAGGAGTACTGTATTGTATGGTAACCACCGACGGTAAGTATGGACAAATACTGTATATAGACTGTGTAAAGAGTACTGTATTGTATGGTAACCATCGACGGTAGGTATAGACAAATACTGTATTAGACTGTGTATAGGAGTACTATTTTGTACGGTATCCAACGACGGTAGGTATGGACTAATACTGTATATCTAGACTGTGTATAGGAGTACTGTATTGTATGGTAACCACTGACGGTAACTATGGACAAATACTGTAAATAGATTGTGTATAGGAGTACTGTATTGTATGGTAACCACCGACTGTAGGTATGGACAAATACTGTATATAGACTGTGTATAGGAGTACTATATTGTATGTTAACCACCGACGGTAGGTATAGACATATACTGTTGATAGACGGTATATAAGAGTACTATATTGTATGTTAACCACCGACGGTAGGTATAGAAAAATACTGTTGATAGACTGTGTAATGGAGCACTGTATTGTATGTTAACCACCGACGGTAGGTATAGACAAATACTGTTGATATACGGTATATAGGAGTACTATATTGTATGTAACCACCGACGGTAGGTATAGAAAAATACTGTTGATAGATAGTGCATATGAGTACTATATTGTATGTTAACCACCGACGGTAGGTATAGACAAATACTGTATATCTAGACTGTGTAAAGGAGTACTGTATTGTATAGTAACCACCGACGGTAGGTATGGACAAATACTGTATATAGACTGTGTAAAGGAGTACTGTATTGTATGGTAACCACCGACAGTAAGTATGGACAAATACTGTATATAAACTGTGTAAAGGAGTACTGTATTGTATGGTAACCACTGACGGTAGGTATAGACAATTACTGTTGATATACGGTATATAGGAGTACTATATTGTATGTTAACCACCGACGGTAGGTATAGACATATACTGTTGATAGACGGTATATAAGAGTACTATATGGTATGTAAACCACCGACAGTAAGTATGGACAAATACTGAATATAGACTGCGTAAAGTAGTACTGTATTGTATGGTAACCATCGACGGTAAGTATGGACAAATACTGTATAAAGACTGTGTAAAGGAGTACTGTATTGTATGGTAACCACCGACGGTAAGTATGGACAAATACTGTATATAGACTGTGTAAAGGAGTACTGTATTGTATCGTAACCACCGACGGTAGGTATAGACAAATACTGTATATAGACTGTGCATAGGAATACTGTATTGTATGGTAACCACCGAAGGTAGGTATGGACAAATACTGTTGATATACGGTATATAGGAGTACTGTATTGTATGTTAACCATTGACGATAGGTATAGACATATACTGTTGATAGACGGTATATAAGAGTACTATATGGTATGTTAATCACCGACGGTAGGTATAGAAAAATACTTATATAGACTGTGTATAGGAGTACTGTATTGTATGGTAACCACCGAAAGTAAGTATGGACAAATACTGTATATAGACTGTGTAAAGGAGTACTGTATTGTATGATAACCACCGACGGTAAGTATGGACAAATACTGTATATAGACTCTGTAAAGGAGTACTGTATTGTATGGTAACCACCGACGGTAGGTATGGACAAATACTGTGTAAAGGAGTACTGTATTGTATGGTAACCACCGACGGTAAGTATGGACA